TTGTAACAACGTACTTTGGAAATCAAAAGCTGGATAGAAGGTCATTTCTTTGTTGAAATACAATCATATTTCTTTTGGTGACGGGACAACCATTTAATAAACATAGTCAGGGAAAAAAGGTGTAGAAGAACAACCACCAGTGAAGAGCTGCAAGTAAAGCTGATTTCTCATAAAAGCACCCAGAAATCACCCCTGTTCGAATAGAACAAAGGAATAATTACATTTATTTTCTTTCTTTTCTCATAACAATTCTATGCAAAATGTGTGGATTTTAAAAGTACAAGAAATTCAGTCAGTCCCACCGAGTTGCACAACTGTGTCTTATTTGTAATTCCAACAGAAGAAAATACCAGCAGAGCCTGTGGTCATGTTTCTTACATATGGTGTGATTGTCTCAAGTGCAAATCATAATTAAAACATAAAATCCCCTAAGCTTCCCATAAAGGAGGGCAAGGAATAGTTTTCACATCACACTGGTATTTTATGGTTATATTTTCTTCATCCTGAATAAAAAGAATAATTTTTAAAAAAAAGAATTCACAAATTAAAAGTTAGAAATAGATTATGTGCAGTTCATTGGAGTGTTTCATTTAGAGAATTTCAAAGCATTTTTATGTTTAAAAAAATCTATATTGAATCTGCATTTTGAAATTGGGTTAGAGCATAATATTTGTAAATCTCTAGTACATCGTACAACACCAGTACTAAAAATCTCTGGAGAAAAAAAGATGAAATAATTTAGGGAACTGGCTATGGGCCAGTTCTTTCAAATACTCTCCAATGTTCACTACAAAATCATAGACCATGAGTTTGAAAGTCTGTAATGTTATTAAGTGGAATGTCTATTATCTCCTCACATATTAGGCATGACTTCAAAAAAGAATTTCTTTCTGAGGAGGAAGGGTGCCAACCGCTGTAATCTTTCTCTTCTGCATTGGCCAAAGCAATGAAAAGAGTTCTGCTTTGCTGTTTAATCTTCCAGCATATCTTGGACAGAAATAGAATGTCACTTTATTTACTTTGTCAATTCAGTGTTTTTAAGTGCCCTTTCCTGATGGATACAAGACATCTTTCTCCCTTTTTCCCATGGTAAGGCCATACAGGTCAGTTCTGATAATCTGATGCATCAAAACTAATGTTGGCATCTTCTTAAAAAAAAAAAAATTACTCTTAGCAACAACTATGAGCAGATTTGTTTTCTGAAACTAAATGTATATAGTTCTACTTTAGATGCCAGATTTTGGACAGTAGGTATCTAAATTCCATCAGCAATCCAGCTCCTCTGGAGGAAAAAAAAGTTGGATACCTGGACTAGTAGGAAAACAAGCTTATCTCATTTAGGGAATGAAAGAACAGATTTGAACTATGTGAGGAATTGCCATTTTGTTAAATTGTCATTTTGTAAGACATTTCGTTTAGGCAGGAGCGAGTTACCTGCTGTATTGCTTCCATGGCAAATTAAGTGGAAGTCAGGGAATCATGCTATCAAAATGCCCCAAACAGGACTTTATTGGTATGTTGCAAAATATTTTCTAAACTGAAGCCTAGCAGAAAGATGATAAAAATACTATCTTCATCTGGCACTATTCAGTTTTCATAGGGTGGGAGTATGCTGCCTTTGAAGGAAGTCATAATCACAAAGTTTCAGTCTGGTAAAGTGGGCAGTTTTATGCCTATGGAGGTTCATTCATATGAGGTTCATGATTCATGACAGAGGCTGCTGAATATACTGTTCCCAAGTTAGTGGCCGAGAATCTCCTGTGTTCTAGGTTACAACTCTAATCACAAGACTCAAGGAGCCATCTCTTTTCGCCAAAATCTAAAATTAGGAATCTGTGATTTCAAAAAATGTGTGCTAAAGTTGTATGTGTAACAAATGCATTTGTCTTTGCATAGTGGATAAATCATCATTCCACCTGCAAGTCCCAGTTATTTTGCTCACAATAGTCTGTGAAGTTACTTGTTTTACATGCATTGGATTTGGGGTATGCATCATAGATTTAGCCTTTAATTGCCTGGCACAGTCTGTATTTGTCCCAGCTGGGTTACACAATTGGGAACTTTGATCTGATACCTTCTAACATTTATAGATTCCTAAAGAGTAAATCTCTATGTCTTGATAGGACTGATTTCAGTTCACACAAAGCTTAACTCAGCTATGATTACTTTATGAAGGGAGGGAGCTTGCTATTACTGTTTCTATTTCTGATTACAATCACTTCAAGTTTTTCATCTCACAAAGACATTGAACAGGCTTGCTGTAGAATTGCAGACCAATGAGATGTTAAAAAAAAAGTACTTAGACTAGAAAACTGCATAAATCAAATGATGACAACAGGAAGTTTCTGAACAGTGGTGCTTCAACAGATGTATACTCCTGTAGTTAGGGAACCACTTCTTGATACTTAAAAAAAAAAAAAACCAAAAAAAAACCCTCCATATCTTTCACATGGAGTGTGCTTTACATGCTGTTTGAACTTATGATATGATATGGTTTCTGATAACTTTAATTCAGGAAAGGAAAGTGGTGGCTGCTTACAAAGCCTCGGGACTTAACTCTGCTTTCACTCAATGCTTACAAAAGCAAATTTCTTATGCTTTCTCTGTGTGTTAGCCTGAGAGAGACCCAATTTCTGAAATGAAATTTCAGGTTTGGATACTGCAGGTTTTTTAAGGAAAATTAAACTATGATGAGAAAACAGGATGGTTTTCATCCTAGGATCTTTGGAAATATTTTCTGAAGTTCTGTAATTTCAGATTCGTCCAATTCCATGTATTTTTTCATAAACGTCATATACTTTTCGTACTTTTTCATGCACTTCACTTTCATGTACCATTTCCAAAGGAAATTAGAGCTTTATTTAAATCTTAGATTCTCCAGCTGATGTTTTTAGGAAACTTGTTCTTAGTGATTAACCCCTTTTTTCATTCTTAGTTTGAAGGATGGAAAATTGCATAGTTCTGAACCACTTATATTTACGGTGATGGCACCATTTTGTTAAGAACAGCCTTCTTGATTAAATCAAATTTCCAGCTGATGTTTTTTTAAAGACCCTAAAAAAACGGGCTTCAGAATTTCTATCATATATGACCTACTAATCTGTAACTCAAAGTATGTTGGTGCTCTTCAGGGTGTCAGCCTTTCCAAGTTGATTCTCTTTACCATAGAGTGAATCTACATTTTTACCTGTGCTCTGACACTTTGTTTCATGTTCCCACCTGCTTGCACCATCCTTGCTTCTATACAGGAGGTCAGGTTATTTTTCTTATAATCCTCTGCTGTCAGCTCTCATGGCTGCCCACCAAGAGGGCTGGAGGTTTTAACTCTTCGTATGTTGCCTTTTTGTGAGGGAAGCAGGTCACAATGCAGGGAAGGAGTGCTTACACAGTGAGTGAGCAGTAAGTGCAGTGTTGTCACCTCTCCAGTATCCCAGGAAAAAGCACATCTGGGGCCATACTGCTCCTTGATGAAAAGAGGAAGTGCAGAGGTAGACTCTCCATTCAAGAGGAATCTGTATTAAAGTAGAAGACAACAGGAGGAGCCAGGCATAGAAAGAACAGAGATCCACAGTGTGGTCTAAAACCCCATGTAAACTCATTTTAATCCAAACACATTGACATATGCCTTACAAGCTTCTTTGTGAAGTGGAAGTCCTACACAACAGGGATATTTACAGTCAAAGTCAAATGAGTAGAGAACATATGCACTCCATATGTCAGGCCTTCTATATTCTCCTATGCACCTCTATACTTCTTTCCCATTCCCATTCATTGTCTCTTCTAAAGACATGTTTGCTGTAGGTATAAAGACTAGATAGTTACATCGTATTTGAAATTCAATTGCATAATGAATATCCTGCAGTCTCATTTGGGCTTCCTCACTGCAGAGAAGTATGGGCAACTTTTAACAATAGTGTGAAATACACAGGGGTTTGGTCATTGTTCTCCCAAAGCAGCTGCCATAAGCTAACAATGACTTAGATACTATGCTGCTTCTGATAATTCTTTGCAGTTGCTGCAGGGCTAAATCTCGTTTATCTTCTGTCATAAAATATGAGTCATGAAGATTCTCTGATTTTCATTGCCGAAATGATCAACAATGACTTATCCTGTAAAACATTCTGACTCAGCTAATTTAAAACACTGTTACAATTTTTAAGTAAGAAAACTGCTATAGTGTAGAAGCTTTCATACATCAAAAGATACATGTTCTAAATTAGACCCCACTGTTTTGTAAGACATTAAGAACAGCAATGTTTCATCCAGAACAGTCCTGAGGAATAGGCTTTTTGATATCAAGGGGTAAGGTTCACGTACTAATATTCCATGTAATATTACTATTTATTTCTGCTGTTGGGCCACTTTTTGCAAGTGCTAACATTAACACAGAGGAGGAATATTAAAATGGTTACTATTTAAACTCCTGGAAGATCAGTATGAACAAAAGTAAAATGGTTTCTTCAGGTGGACTTAGAACCAGAGAAATTTGTTTGTTTGTTTTATTGCCTGGTCCTGTGTAGCATCAATAAGGTGAGTTGAAACTGTTGGGATATTCTAGCTAAAATCAAAAAAACTGACAACACAAATGCTCCCAGTTACATAAAATGAACCATGAGTTAAATTCTGCTAACTCACTGATAGGAAGAGGCCTTCATTTCACCTAGAAGTGTGGGTCTCCCTCAAATCCAGACTGCCAATGCACTTCTTGTTTTTGTTAGGAAATCCCACAGAGTTGATGGTTTGAATGACCTTCTGTCATGCAGTATGTGGGAACTGAAATAAAAACTTTGGAGGTGAGGGACCCCAACATGATCAATGTGTTTTTCTAGAACAGTGTTTTCCAATTTGTCTGTGATGGTTTCAGCAATTCATGTCCTTCAAACCTGTCCAAAACAACCTGCAGTGATTTGTTGTCTAGCTCATTTGTTTGACCCTTGGCTGAAGTTGCAATGTTCCCTCAAGTCTGTTTTTCTACTTTATTGTTTCTTTTTGAATTTCAGACTTATCAATGAGTCTTTGAGGGACCAGTTGCTGGTTACCATACAGAAGACTTTCACATACACCCGAACGCAGGCACAGCACCTCTTCATTATCCTCATGGAGTGCATGAAGAAGAAGGAGCTGGTATGTTCACTTTTTCATTAGAGGCAAAGAGAGAGCTCAATGCGTTGTTTTGATCAAGTCTTTCAGGTCCCTGTTGAATGATTTCACAAATATGATCACTGTGATCCAGACTCTAAAAGGATATTGTATCATGGTGACTTTTGTTTGCTTTAATCTGTATTTTCTCATTTAAAGTGATTAATCCAACAGATCTGTTCCCTTTGTAAATTCCTCTACATTTCCTTTGACAGGACAAAATCCAGCTAGTAGAGTATGGATATTACTACTTTTCAGTCATCCTCAGGCATATCATGATTAAAATTCCACCTCATTCAACTACAGAAAACCTCAGAAGGAAGTGCAATTGTTTATCTGTCACTTGGATCATATTTTAAAGATGCTGTAGAGTTGCACAAGGATCACTAGGACTATTATTTTATTGTGAAGATGTGTGACAGGAAAAGAAAACAGCTTGTCCCCAAGGCTTCTATTCTGCAGTGGCAATGCTGTCCCTTTAACAGATACTTATACTTGATTGAAGAGCACAAGATCGTTCAACAGTTTCTTGGAGCTCCATGAGGCTGCTTTTGCAGAAGCATTTTTGAAGCAAAATCACATTGTAAAAAACTGGATTCAATTCCAGGGATTTTTATTTCTTAAAAACTGACGGAATAGACATGCTTCCATTTTGTAACTTAATCTTTCTTCTAAGCTTTGTTTTTGGTTCATCTCGCAGCTTCCTGGAATTCCAGGCTGATAGCAGTCTGCAACACTTTCTGTAGGGTAATACTCAAGAGGAAAGATTGACTCAGTTGTTTTACAGAATTTTCATTTTCTGAAACTGTTTGAGATTTTTGTGACTTCGTCCTCTGCAGTGCCTTTTCATTTTAGTTGAAAATATGGCATACAGTAATTAGTACCACTGGAGGGGAATGGGGAAAAATGGTTAGGAAGTGTTTAAAAAAAGGCTGTCCTTCTGGACAGAGCTGTGCAAAACGGAAGATATTTCTTTGTATGGTTTAACTTGCCAAAAGTGCAGTGTTCTCTTCAGTAACCAGCAGTTCATGCATCCATCAAAAAGTTGTCAGCCTTCCTTATGGATAACTATTCATTTACATGTACCACAATCACCTGGCATGTACCTTGGACAATGGCAGAGAAGAGAGGATCCCAAAAACAACTTTTCAGGGAAGACATGGCAGCAGATCCACTATGCCGTTGCAATGTAGGTTGTTGATGGAACTGGACATACAGCAGTCCCTGCTGCCTTTTTCCTCCCACAATCAGAATTCAAACTGTTTAGCAGACTTTAAACACCCTTAGCTATTCAGAAGCGATCGGTGCAGCCCATAAGGTATAGACTAGTCATGCCTTCCCTAGGTGAACTACATCAAGATAGAGAGTTCTTTTTTCTTTCTTTTATTTTTTTTTCCTCCAAAATCTCCTTTCCATTAAAGACTCTCAGAGAAATATATCGTGCTACAGAAATACTTTTCATATTCATTTATGATTGTCATGATGTACCATGACCTCCACAGCACTTGAGTTTGCTTTACATGTGTAGTACATATGTGTCTCAGTCTACCTTAATGTTGAATTTGCTGTAACATTTCTTATCAATGATTAGCAGAGAGAACCTCCTTAGGGAAACAGCATTAATTCTTTTATGCCCATTTCTGTTAATGTAATAATAAAGTAATAGTAATAGTAAGAATATGTACATATAGGACCTACTTGTGAAGCAGTGTTCTGCATGCAAACATAAAAAACATACTTAATGATAGAAGATGGAAGAAAGGAATGAGGAACAGAGGGGAAAGAGAGGGACACCAAAAGGGAGGGAGCAAGGGGGAGGCAGGAGGACAGAAAGGTAGGAAGGAACAAAGAATAGAAAGTAGAGGCAGATGTTGAATTATCAAGACTGGAAAAATGCAAGACTGGAAGAAACTCTGCTACTGCAAAGTTAACTGTGAAGTTTTTGTCTGCAGTATTCACATCAAGATTTTTATTCCAAGCAAGACTGTGCATTTGTTACAAGTTTCTTTGCAAACATGTAACCTCTGTCACCACTGACATTCTTTACCTGCACATCTTGTGAAGAGCTATTAGCCAGGAGATAGTTTGCCAAAATTAGGTGTTCTGAATTTGGATTTGTACCACTAACCCAACCATATATAAAGAGAATACATTAAAACAAGTGTTTCTCTTTGGTACCTCAGTTGTACTGAGAGTGTTAATTTTAACAGTGGTAAACTAGAAAGATTTTATGTATGAGGTGTGGTTGCTAGGCTAATGGTGTCCTTTAAGACTCATAACCCTGTACATGAATGTAAAAGAAAGGTGATACTCATAATGATGAAGATAGCATTACCAGAGGAGATGAATGACCTTGGAGGTGTGAAGCATTCCCAGGAGTGAGTAGTGACTTCACTGGTTCTACAAAGCCAGATGTTCCATATTTCTATATCTGTCCCTCTTGTCCTTCCTCAGGCTTGACCTTCTGATCTAGTTGTGCATAAGACAAAACAGCTGATGAACTGACTTCATCATTAGTCTGATCTCTCCTCTCCCTAAAGAAACAAATAGAAGGAAAATGCAAAAGATTGTCTCAGAGAAATCAGCAGCAGCCAAATTTATCATGCCTGTTTTCCCTAAGTTCATGCCTAGTGTGCCAGACTGTCTGACTTAGTGGCTGCTGAATTCATAGGGAACAAAGTAGACAGAGGCTTGTCATATTACAGTGTGCTGCTAAACAATTAAGTGCAAACAGACAGGAAGATGCTCTTCTAGTAAAGTACATAAATGCAGATGAATCACAGATGTGGAGAGAGAAAATAAAATGCAAGTTAATCTCTTGAAAGGAATAAAAAGCTATCTTCTAAATAATTTTTCCTACTCTACCTACTTAGAATGTGTAAAAAGACTGGCATTTCTTTTATAAATTTGACATAAGTGTGGTGGCCAGGGAAAAAGCATAATCATAACAAAGATTATTCCCCTCACAGAACACCAGATTTTTCAAGTTCTGACATTTTGGACTTCACTCTTAAAGAATGGTCTGTGAATTGTATGCCCAGGGACCATCATTATTATGGTGTGCAATGTTCCATTTATTCGATAAAGTGTAAGTTCATTTGTTGAATAAAATCTGAGTACACAAGCTGGATGATAAGGTGAGACCATAGCAGAGGAAAGATCTAAGTCTGTTAGGTTTGCAAGACAGAGCAAATTCCACTTCTCAATTTAATGAGTGGTTTTTATTAAATCATAAGCTTAGCTGTGTTGATACTGCAAGTATCAGACTTTATATTCAGAAATGTATTTGGACTAAGGTGCTTAATGAGGTCTATATATAAAAATCTATTTAAAATTAAGTAGAGTATGTAGGTCTGTATCTATAACTGTAGATTACAAGGGTAGGAGAGTGTTTTGTATATAATTCATGGTGAGTCTCTACTGTCACATTTACCTAGAATTCTTTAAAAAAGTTTATGCTAAGAAGTTCCTAAAATAGGACCATGAATGCCCACCAAAGCTAAGTGGGCAGGAGGCAGTATTGTAAAGTCCAATCCACACTTTTTTTCAAAAAGCACCATGAACATTTTTTCTACGTGTTCTCATCTCCTGCATGCAGCTCATGAGAAGCTAAAACAGCCCATTTGATTATATCTTGCCTGCCAGTAAAAAAAAAAAAAAAGAAATTGAGAGGGAATTTAAGAAAAGAAAGAATTTTTTGCTTAGGACATTTGCATTCCATATCAATTAGTCCAAAGCTACAATAAGATGGAATTCCATAAATGAAAAAAAAAAAGAAAGAAAGAAAAAAAAAGATAAGTAGAATGAGGCAGTCTTCAAGGATGTTTTTTGATCTTTCATTCTATTGTGGTTACCTTGCTGATCTCAGAATACAAAGAGCAGGTGAGGACACTGCCTGAGGACTCATTCTGGCGGGGATATTTCCCACTGGAACCCCAGCTTGGCCCCAGAGTCAAGTGGCAGCAAGGAAGGGAATCCCTCAGATAGCAGGCTAGGAGAGTTCACTTCAGATAGTTGCTGAAAACACGTTGTGTTGGGTTACAGTTCAGAAATCCGTTTCCAGCTGTGCGAAGGAGTATTTATTTCTGTCTCAGTAAATAAATTAACCTTATTATTTTCCCTTAAAGACAGTAAATTTGGTGTTTGAGTTTTCTGACAAATACAGGCTGCTCCATTCTTTTAGGAGTAGTTAATCATTTCACAGCTTAGACTGGCATGTTGCAGGAGCGCTTTGTTCACAAATCACAATGTGAATTTCTCAGAAGCCAGAATGCCTTTTCCAACAAGCTGTGTGGATCCATCTGTGGAGCTTCATTGGGCAAGCACTGGGAAAGGCCACTTTGGCAAGCCAGAAAGTTCCGTGTCCCTGAAAACAACCACACCTTGTTGCAGTGAGATACATTTGACATAAAACTAATGCTTGCAAAATTGTGCTTTGAAAGTGAATAGGCCTAATCTCATATCCATTTAATAGAAAAGGCATTTGCCATGAATCAGGATAGGTCCCGTCTGAGTACCTTAGTAATCAAAAAATGGCACATTAACACCCACAATAAAGACTCTGTACTGCCTGCTGGTTAAGTTTGTTTTCTTATTACTACCATAACCATTTTCTGCTAGATTTGTTTCCTTGGATATTTGAAAGTTCAGTTACTACAATAAGCAAACTGATAGTGCCATTGCCTACTGCTGCATTACAAGAAGGGTTTGCAGAATGAAGAGTATATGGATGGTGGGCACAGGTTTGTGTGCATCCATGAATTCCTGGAACTCATTTCCACATGGAGACAACAGATACAATTTAATCAGTTTCTTGCTAAAAGAGAAACAATAAAATCCCATCTCTATCTCATGTCATTGAGTAATGGATATTTTTTTACTTGCCTCTCCTTTTCTTTGTTATTCCTGTATGGTCGCTGTGACAAACATAATGGCTGCTTGGGTATAGTGTTCTACATTGCGTGTTTTTCTTTCAAACAGACGGA